TGCTCACGAGGAGGGTTAACTGCTCGCTGCCCTATACCTAACGCGTACTATAGATAATGGGAGGTCGGCTTCAAACTTTGCATTGATATATTGGCTTTTGGTTCACGAGATTGTTTATTGCGAGCTTAAAAAGTTTCATGAGCTAGACTTTATGCTACCTGTTCAGTGCTAGACACCATGTCCCATACATCGATGTTATGTAAACATACTTGACTACGAAAATTATTTACCAGATCATTTGTTAAAAGATTCTATGCTAACATGATGCTTCAGGAAATGACAGCAATTTTTTCAGGAAACGATTTTATGATGTTTTGTGTGTATTCTTCTCAATGCACATAGAAATTCATATGCGAATCGAATGGAATGGGAATTTGAATGCGAATCTAATGATATTTCAGGATTCATAACCATCACAAAAGTGACCCTTTGAGGCGGCAAACTTGTGGAGTTTGTAATGCAGGTTTCGTGGAGGCTCATCGACCTGCAGATCGCTATACGCTTGATGGACATTATCGATGTTTGGGCCTTGTTTGTGCGTACGCCGTCTAGCTCGGCCGTAATACGCATCAACTCTCACTTTGGTCGTTAATAAAAACGTATTCCCAGACACGCTATCAGCCACTGAAAAGCGGTTTTGTCCTTTCCATTTTATGTGTTATTAGTTTCAATAATTTCTTCTATTTTCTGTGGGGATAAGTCAAATAAAGAAGATGCTGACGTGTCTCTACGTTAAGTAATGGTAACTATCTAAACTTGCTGAAGTATATACACGTAGTTCAAGTACACGTAGCGGCCAACTTCTCGTCTCTGATGGGCGGGTTTAGTCGTAAAACCCGTCAGTCATTGACTGATGGACTAACGAACTCGTTTTACAGTTTTTATTAGTATGATCACAGTTTCACATGCTGGGTGCCTATGGCTACCGCGAGAGGGGTATTTAATTTCGAAACTTCGAACGTGCATCTAACTCGACGGTAACGGAATACGCTTGTCTACTAGCGGCCAGCCCGAGTTTTTATGCTGGATGTAATTTAATGACGAGTAATTTGATGTCTGCCACAATATTTAACAATTTATGATGTGCTACATAGAAGAGAGTTGCATTGCCATTTATGTTAAAACGCCGGTTCCGAAAGTTTTTTTTTAAGTAAGTATTTACTGCATATATCATGGGCGAAGAGCATGTTACCTCTTCAGAAATGCTGTCAAATTTTATTTTACTGAATTTAAACACTTGTATACTTATAGTGTTTTGCCGTACCGTTACCCACTATCCATGATGGAAATATTCCCCCATTTGTAAAGTGATGGCTTAAAATACTATAATTTTTATAATCATATTTCTCATAATTTTTTTATTTTTAAGTTCTGTGGTGAACTCTGGTGCAATATTGTAATCATCTTAATTTATCATATTCATTATAATTATTTAACCGCTCTTTTAGCTTATAAACAGGCTAAAACGGGCCATTTTAGCAATTACGCTGGTCGAAAAGAATTAGTAAAACGGCTCACTTCTACAGTCTGAAAAATTCATAATAGGTAATACATCTGAAGGATGTATATTCAAATTCATCATTTCACAACATATCAATAGTCCGCAGTAAATTATTTTTAGTCATCAATCCGCATGAAATTTTCATGTTGCAATTGTGTATGTATAGGCAACATACATCGAAAAGGGCATGCGCTCGCATTGCAGATATGAAAGAATTGCGAGCCTCCCCGAGTCTCCCTGTCCGCCATAAGCCACGTATAGTATCAGGCCCCTCATGCATCTTAATGAGCGCATCGGAACTTCCAGTTTTGAGAGTTTGTTTTTCAGAGCTTCAGGCTTCTGTGAAATATTTCCGAGCTCCGCGGTGCTAATATAAACAAATGCGGTAGGAAAGATACTCCGGCAGCGAAGCTTTACTGAATATTTGCCGTGACCGAGCGAGCGGAAACCCCTGTGATCTGCTGACAGGTTCGTTACGCATATAATCCATGCAAAGATTTTTTTTGCAAGGGGTGTGTGCAAAAAAATCATGCACAAGTACCACATAGATTAAAAATAATAATAAATAAACTATTAATCTTATTACTGATTCTTACCGACTTTACTATGTATTTTAGAACAACTCTAGTCTTCACTTTGGCTGGCATTTCAATCAATACTACTCGATGCTGCGGTCACGTCTCATTGTTGCAAATCATAGCCGCCCTTAGCACCAACCGAGAGCCGGCCGACGCTGATAGGAGACTACAGAGCTCATATGCAGACGTGATTCATTTGTTTCAAGAGATCTCTAGGAGCTTTCAAATGCTTATAAGTAATGGGGTAGTTTCAACTAATCTTGTGAATAGCATCTCTTCAGAGTACTACAAAGAAGCCTTTGAGTTCCCTTATCCAGAAATGAGATATGTATCTCCTTTCATATATAAGTGAATGTTGAAGTCTTAGCAGTTTTTGCGCTGCATAATATTTTGATAATTATAGATCTTGAATAAAGAGGCCATTTACGATCGTGCTCCCAGTTATGCATAATATACATAGGTAGGTATATCATTGGATACGGTTGGATGTACTGAATATCAGAACATCACGTGGGTTTGAATGCGTTTATCTTCATTATGATCACTGGGATGACTAAATGTTAGTTATAAATCACGAACACCTTGAAGAGGCTAAAATCCTTCATTTTTATTTAGTTTAATATTATCATGATTTAATATTAAATTATCGTTGTTTAGAAACTTCGCTCCTTTCTTTACATCTGCATTGTTTCTGCATTTGCTATATATTCATGCCCAATAATGTCTGCTCTGACTAAGCGTGTTGTTTATAAACTAAGCAAGTTAGTTTTTAAACATCATTGTGTGTTCTTGAGTTGGCAAGGAAAATAAATAATGTTAATCAGTATATTGTTGTTTGGCAATTGAACAGACATTGCGACAATCAAGGCACAATTGAAGGACCCGCTGCTATGCTTGCACAATTGGTTGCAAGTGTGGCTCGACTGTGCTCAATTTATCCATTCTACATTCAATAAAATAGACGTGTCATATAGTCCAAATGCCAACTAGTGACACTTACTTACTTACATCACCAGCATACAATGAGCTGACGTAGCAATGAGAGGCTCTTTTGCTAAGCCAAGCTGAGTCATGATGATTCATACCAGGACAAAGACGTGCATCGCTGTTTGGACAATGACCCTCTAATTTTGTTGAGTGTATAAGCGCTGTTTGGTGCGTGTTTACGTTATTTTTATTTGTGTCGCTGCTGGTGAAGCTTTTGTGCGGTTATAAAAACTTTTCTTTATTCGTACTTTGATGGCATGTAGCGAGTGTGCGCTCATATAGTGGGTCATAGTTTCCAAATAGTGACACACTTTATGCATGACACACTTTATGCATGTAGCACTGATACGCCTTTTCCGAGTCAAACTGCATGGACTACAGGATGACTCACAAATTGGCAATTGTACATCGCTATTTGGACGTGTGTTATAAAATAGTGTTTTTATGTAAAGTAGCATGGTCGTAAATGTGCTAAGCTTGGAAATGTGAAGAAAACGCGTGGCTCGCCAGGTATTAGAAGTAAATGTTTTGTTTATGTATATCGGACAATGGTAGTTTGTACTGCAAATATATACAAACTCTAAGAAGTAATTAGAACATGTATGTGTGTATGTTTATGTCATTTGTTAATTCATTCTCAATAGTAAAGATGAATTGCGGGTGATGGTGTGCGTCAAATCTTTGATGTTTTCCATTAATAGTGACTCACTTTCGGTTCCACATGGTGAATGATGACTCACTTTTGATACCACATAGTGACACAGTTTAGGTCCCGCTTTGCGGATGATGACTCACGTTAGGTCCCACATGGATAGTGACTCACTTTCGGTTGCACGTGGTGTACGGTGACTCACTTGGGTTTCTATATACAAGTTTCTGATGATGCAGCGCTTCGACTGTGAGCTGTAGATTGCTCGGGTGCAACTCAAAGTATTTTAAAATTATCTTCGCGATTTTTCATTGCGCGCAAATCAGCATTCAAAATATTTCTATAAGACTCGCAGAAATGAGTAAGCTTTGATATAATATGTACTTTTGATGAGGTGCAATTTGATTTGATGGATACATTTGTTGAGCTACAATTGTATCCAGAAATATTGATTTAATGATCCTCAACTTGATGGCCTTCACTTCATGTGGGGCATGAAAAATTTGTGAAGATTGTGTGTGTTGTGTTTCTTGTGTGTTATGTGTTTCTTGCACCGCTTAACTTGTCACAAATTCGAATGAGCATCATACGAGTACACATCATAGGAGTACACATCACACGAGTACACATCACACGAGTGCACATCACACGAGTGCACATCACACGAGCACACATCACACGAGTGCACATCACACGAGTGCACATCACACGAGCACACATCACACGAGTACACATCACACGAGTACACATCACACGAGTACACATCACACGAGTACACATCACACGAGTACACATTACACGAGTACACATCATACGAGTACACATCACACGAGTACACTCACCCAACCGGCGCTGAGTGGCTGAGAAACTGCTAGACTCTTGGCCCACAGACCCTTAGCAGGTAGACCCTTAGTCCAGACTCCAGAGGCCATTAGCAAATAGACCGTTTGCAGATAGACTCTAGGCTGACATTCGGACAACTGAAACCTGCCGACAAATTAAGCCGACAGACTCCTAGCCGACCGGTCTTGAAACCGACAGACGTTAAACGAAGTCTTCAAAAATCTGTTAAGTCAGTAGGTACAGTAATTTGTACAGTAAGCTTGTACCAGGTTTGGGCTTTTCCTTATTTTCTCTGGTTATTAAATAAAGTACATACATTCCCTCCTTGCTAAAATAAATTTTAGAATTCTAAGTGTATAATTTTTAAATTAATTAGAATTATTTTTGCTTAACAAATAGCCCAAGATTTTGTAATAACATTTCGTGTATAATTTTATTACAGAAATGTATCCCATGTCGCCTTGCAACTGTATTATGCATGCATTACCTATCCGTCTGTGACAGCTGTCACTTAGAATCACTCAACTGCTATACAGAATTAACTTGCCCAGTTTCGACTACTGTAGGGAAGAAATGCTAAGGCATCAATATGTTTCTTATTCAATGAAAATATTGATGGCGACTTACGGCATGTGATTATGCCCGAATATCTTCTCTATTAGAGATGTCTTCGGTGATAAGGAACCTACAACGATATATCCAAAATTCCCCTGGCTGAAGAAAATATTTCTGGTGATCGAAAAATTCTGTGAAGTTGCTAGCGGTGTCTTACCATGAGGCTGAAAATCCGCGGTGCTGTGGTGGGCTGCTGTGTGGCAGTGCTGCTCACCACTGCACTGCTGTGGCTGCGGTGCCACGCAGACTCTGCGTCACTGCACAGTCGCCACAGCAGCAGCAGCAGCGCTGAAGCTCAACAACAGCAGCGCAGACAACCTCTGCAGACACGACTGCACCACACGGCTCTCCCACAGGTCTGTGCACTCAGAGATATAAGGTGATTTTGTCCAAATAGCCATGCAGTTTTTGCACTTGTGTAGGTCACCCTGACCTAATTTTGCATGGCAAAATGGTGCATCAGTGCTACGTGCAGAAAATGTGTCACTGTTTGGACAATATGACCCATTTATTTTGCTAGATGCATCTAGATTATTCTGCCTTACAAACCGTATCTTTTATTTATCTGCTCAATCCATAAATTATCCAAAAAATTTAAATCAAAGGAAACTCCTTGAAAAAAACGTATTATTATTTTTTCTTTTTGTACTGATGATAGATGGTGCTGGCATGGGAAAGGTTTTCAGTGAAAATATGGAGAATTTGCTTTGCGTTTTCTTTGCTTATAAGTTATTACCTGATCTTTTAGTGTTGGATTTTTCCTTTAAAATATTCTGGGTACAGAAATTATTGTAACAGTTTAGCCAAACATTATATAGCGTATACAGTATATTTTTATAAATCATTGATTTTTTTTTAAACAAAACGTTTAGATTAATAGATTTTTACTCATAATTTCTTTACTGTAACTAATTTCATGTTGTACATAAAGTCTCTTTCTACAAGAATCCATTGATCCTTGTAAAATCCTGTTAACAAAAAGATAACCAGGAACTCTGCCTTATTTCACCGTTTTTTCGAACAGTGTAAGGTAGCAACCCCTTATACGATTCCTATTGGTCACGTAGAATGATGAACAGAAGGCCTCGAAGCAAAAGCATTGTAGGCCGGTAACCTTTAATGTAATGAATATGGCAGGCCAGAATTACAGGTGAGCCTTCGTGCAGAGCCTCACTCTCCTTAATGCAGTGCAGCGACTCGTTAATTAGACGGTGACTCGCGAGCAGTGCACTGAGAAAAATGTGTGGGTCTTGATGAACATTTAAAGTTCAGTTAATATTGAAGGGTTAAAAGCGATATGATGCCAGTCATAAGTCAGTGTGACCCACTAATGGGCATTTGAGTGGAAAAAGTGCAGCGCTATTTGGACACGGTTGACTCATCTAAGTGAGTCATTCAGACCCACCCATTTGTCTCAGTGTGATGTGAGCTTGCTTGCACGATGGCACGAAGTCACCAAACAATTTCTCGTGCACTCCAGTCACTTCGTGACAATTTTAAAATTCGACAATTGCGACGGTATCACGCAGACTCTAGTGCCACGCTAACTGTTGCCGTAAGTTGAAGCAGTTGCCACTTTAACGTCGTTTTGTCATGGTATGTTGCCATGCGCGTTACTGTCTGGCATTTATTTTAACGCGGTCACCAGGCTCTGTTTCATGCCGCCGGTGAGGTCGATATATATAATTATTCGTCATAATTGTCTCTGCAAATGAACTTGCTCTTTATGATGAATCGTCTTTTGTTGATAGGTTATTTAGAGTACTTTAAGTTGAAAATTTTAGTAAATTTTGCATTTCATATTAACTCTTCATTTTTTATCACAAAGACGATAAACAGGGAAAAATTGTTGGCAATTAGGAATATATTTTCCAATTGATAGTAGCGTTGGTTTAAGCAAATTTTCAATGCAAATGACACGTATGAAAAATAAGGATAATCAGTTTTAGGTATGCTTTTAAAGTCTTCATCTACTTTTGCAGTTTCTAAGTCCACCTAAAGAAAAATTCGGTCACCAAATCAGTGCATGCTGCTACATTATTCTCGCTTTTGCCTGAAATGCTATTATTTTTCATTTTATTTTTTTCAGTATTGTAAGACCGCATTTTTTTTACCGCGCATATCTTACACTCAGAGAAATGAAAAGATTCTCGTATAAAAAGCAATTTAGTTTTTGCTCTTTCGTATGTCATTATTATGACTTAGTTTGGACCGTCAACAGCGCCGCGTATCAGTGCATTCCGCTTGCGCTATGGGTATAGAATGCGTGTCATTATTTGGTGAACATTGCCCATTCATTTTTCCGAGTATACTGACAAATCCTGTTGAATTTTTGGGGGTTTTCTCTAACGCGGCTCCTTTCTCCCGCATTTCAGTACCCGGGAGTTGGGATCGTTGACGTTGTAGAAGACGAAGACTACGGCACCGACGAGCTCGACGACGACAGCGAGAGCGAGACGATCGCCGAACCTGCGCAGCCTCGCGCTGCTCTTGTAAGAAATTGTATTTTTACTGACATTTTTACATTCTGATCAAGTTTGGGTATTATGTTCTTTGATAATACGTTTTCAGATTGTTGTAAATTCTCGTGCATCGAGGGTTTTTTACGATACTTCATGAGAGGTATTGAAGGCTGAATATTTTCGAAATATTGCAGGCCGGCGCTCAACTAAATATTAAAGGCTGATTAACATCAAGATATTGTAGGCGGAATAGTCTCGAGATATTGTTGGCTGAATATTCTATATATATTGTAAGCTGAATATTCTCGAGATGTTGTAGGCAGAATATTCTCTAAATAATGTAGGCTGAATATCCTCGATATGTTGTAGGCTGAATATTCTCTAAATAATGAAATGATGTAGGCTAAATATCCTCAAGATGTTGTATAGGCTGTTGAGTTAAGAGATGTGGCCAACAGACAGGTGTGGTGCCAGTGCCGTGCATCATCAACCAGCGCACCACAGTCAACTGCCGGCGCGATGACACCGAAGTCTACGTACCATTCTCCTTTCTGAAGCAATATTTTGAGGTACGAGGCCTTGTATAGAGCATATAATAGTAGTTTTTACTTTTTAGATACAATGCTATCTGGAGTACTGCAAAAATAATAGATTTTGATGTCGAAGATGTTCATATATAAGAACAAGGTTTTTGTATGTAACCTGAATATCTTATCTTGATATTAGGAACTAAATGGCGTATCGTGCAAGTAATTTTCCGTATTTCATTCCATTTTCATGGAATCACTCGACTATTAGTAATTCACATGGATAGCAATAGCTTGTCCAAACAACGTGCCCATTAGTATACATTTTATAATCCCTATTGTGAAATACTCAAATATTATTCAACGACTTAACCATTACTACGTGAATATATCATCAATTCCTAGAAAAATCTCTTGGTAATGATTAATTTTATTTTGTTACTTCTTGGCTCAATCATTGTATTATTTGCGCGGCATTATTTCCCTGTCTTCTAAGATGAACTCCTTCCAGTATCACATTAATATTTATATTATATAAGATTCATTTAAGGTTTTAAGGTAAACTCACAGCATCGCAACGCAATGCAAGTTTTCCCGCATTATTTATTGTATTATATAAGATTAATTTACCAAGGTTTTAAGGTAAAATATTCACAGTATCGCAACGCAATGCAATGTTTTCCCGCAATGTTTAGTTGTTTCTGCCTTAGGTATACGGATCACTGGAGGCAAGAGGCAGCAAGCTCCTGAACAGAAACATTTCTACCACCGACGGCGATGGTACAGAAGAAGCGCCAAGTGAAGTGTTCGTATGGCAGCACTCAACCAGCAAGGTGTTCGAGCCCGCACTCCCGTACTCCCCCTACGGCGCCTTCCTCAACTTCCAGCTCTACAACGTCGAGTCCCGCGACCGCGTTAAATGCGTCAGCGCTAAAGATGGTGCGTATTTTCGTCATTCGGATTATCAATAAGAGAAATCAGTGGGTCATTTGTTCAAATTGTGACGCATCTTCTACACGTAGTAGTAATCATAAGCCCCGTTTGTTAAATGCGTCAGCGCTAAAGATGGTCAGTATTTTCATCGTTCGGCTTATCACTAATATAAATCATTGGGTCATCTGTTCAAATTGAGACACGTGTTCTACACGTAGTAGCACTGATAAGCCCCTTTTGGGGTCAGGGTTGCCCACATATGGACAAGAATCGTATTGCTATTTTCACAAAGTCTCTTTGTTTTTCTCAGTGTAACGGAAATTCTTAATATACTTGGATTATTTCAGCTTATAATTTAATCCTCGTTATTTCACGCTAAACGTTTGTGATGGAATTACAATTTTAACAATTAAAAAAATACAATTTATTTATATATTTCTCGACAAATTTGTGAACGTCTGCAATCTTGTTCCATCGCTGTTCTATTTTGTTGTAGAAAAGAGTATAGTATAATAGAGTATAAAGTAGTCCCTATGCATAATAATGTAATGTGTGACCCAGTTCTTAAATTTACGCCGATGTTCAAAAATATATTGCCTTGAGAAATTTCCCAAGTTTTAATAATGTTTGAGCCAATCAAATTGCAATATAATTGATCCCTTTGTTAGGTCGCATCATGTACAATTAATTCATTTACAATGTTTGTTTTACTTACGAACTATTAAGCTTATAATAATTCCGATAACATGGTTATTTATTGTATTCATACCTGCATTACATAATTAAATGTTAGAACAATGACTTTTCTCGCGACCGCTGATTTTATAATATTTTATCACCTGTACAACGCCATTAAAAATGTCAAATATTCGAAGTTTTGTACATGTGTCGATTCAATGAAAGGTTTCATACTTGTATGACTATATTGAAAGCTAAACTAATCAATATTTTTACCGATACAAATCCATTTTAACCTAAATAAATTAAACATTGGGTAATTAATTAAAATTAGAAATTAATTTTTTCCTCTAGGAGTGCCGATATCGACGCAGTGGCAGAGCAGCGGCCACACATACCCCATCCAGATCGCGCAGTTCGGCCTCTCCCATTACTGCAAGCTCCTCGCGGGGGACAAGCCTAAGCGGTGGGCAGCTCTGCATCATGATATTCTTACGCTTTATTGTACCATAAAATAATATACGCTCAAAGTATTATACTCTAAAAATATTATACTCTAAAATATTATACGCTCAAAGTATTATACTATAAAAATTGTAAACTCTAAAAAATGTATGGGTCATGTTATCCAAATAGTGACACACCATATTACTCTCAGCGCGAGCAGAGAGAGGACGAAGCACTGATACGAACTTTTTCCGAGAAAATGTGGGTCAGGATGACCTACTAAAGGGCAAAAAGTGCATCGATATTTAGACAGTTTCTGAGTTTATAGTTTTCATCACTCACTCCAGTGCTCATAGCGATTTATTGACATTTTTCCATGTTATGTCCCCTTGAACATCCCAAGTCCGTAGACCATGGCTTACAGTGGGTGCAAAAAGTATGCGACACAAAGGAAAAACTTAATTTAATTAAAGCCTATCCAATAAAATAACGTGAAGAGAGACTATTCTAATGTAAATTTGCATGGGAAATACAAATATTATATCAAAACAACAATATCATTGAATATTGACTTGATAATTGCAATTTTGTAAAAATTAAAGCTTTACTTGAATAAATTTTTTTCCTTTGTGTCGGATACTTTTGCACCCACTGTATGTCGCTTAGCCGTTGCCTACTTTGAGGTCTGCATATACACTGTATGGGTTTCCACTGTGATCCCTTTATGATGCATAAATGGCTAGGATTGCAATTGAAGGAGTTGTTATTATAATTTGTAAGAGATATCGTAATTTAAATTAAATGATGGTTATATGTGCATCATGTTAAAGCAACGTTGCTGCACGTTTCGCCTACAAGTTAGGCTTACGATTTCAGTAATATTGTTACTGGAAAGTGAACGGACGGTTCAAATAGTTTATCTAAGTAAATATTATATTACGCTGAAACTGCACTGCATATTTATACGTTATTCCGTTTTATTTTGTTTGACAGGACGTTGCTAGAGGACGGACAGAGCGCGATATCCGCGTGGCAGGTTGCTGGTGCCGGGAGCCGCATCGGCCGCGTCACCGACTCCGTCAGGAAGAACAAAGTTCTGCGCTACAGAGCGAACGGTGTGTACGCTGTAGAAATTCTAAACTTGCTTAGGTACACGTAGCGGCCCAAGTACACGTAGCAACCCAAGTACACGTAGCGGCCCAAGTACACGTAGCGGCCCAAGTACATGTAGCGGCCCAAGTACACGTAGTGGCCACTTGATTAAAATTGAATCTCAGTTTGGCACTTGATTAAATATTTGCCTCAGAGTGCGGTGACTTTGGCAAGCCCTCTGGGGTAATGCGTCCGTATGAGTTGCCGAATCTATAATTTTGGAGCTTAATGAAAGTTGCGTTTCAGTTTGGCACTTGAAGTTGCACTTCAGATTGTAGTAGCACTTGCTTAAAGTTTTATTCAAGGTTACACTTATTTAAAGCTTTATATCAGTTTATCACTTCTTTAAATGTATACCTCAGAGTGCGGGGACTCCGGCAAGCCCTCAGGAGGAGTGCGTCTAAGCCTGCCCATGACGCTGAGCTCTGAGCAGCTCACGCTCTCCCTGGACTGGTTCGTACAGCGCGGCTCTTCCCTCACGATCGCCTTCGTCGTCAGGGAAAAGACGCAGCTTGCCTTCTACGTCAGATACCTGCCCTCTGATGACCTGCTCTGGACCAAGGTAATGTGGCAGTCGTGGCAATGTTGATAACGTATTTTAATAGTTTTTTACTATGCGATGAATACATGCTAGTAAATTTTATTAAACAATTCAGTGAAAACTCATTCTTCAGTGAAATAACTCTTACTATACGCCAAATGCATGCTAAGAAAGTTCCATTATGTAAATAAAGTAAAACATGCGTGCAGTCGCCACGCTCCATATACTACGGGCTGGGCCAGTCGACGGGGTGGCGGCGGTTCACAAGGAACCTGTTGGTGGACTTGCAGAAAGGACTTGCCGCCCTGCCTAAGCTTGCCAAGTCCCTGAGGAAGGTATGCAATGTAATTTGATTTATTTATTAGTTTTATCTTCTTATATTATTGTACCTGCTTATGTCAAGTCCCTGAGAAAGCTACCTATGCAGTATGATTTTACTCACGTTTAAGTTTTGTTATTTTATATCAATATACCTACTTACGTTCGTAAATCTTACTGTGCTACAACGAAAATCAGTTTCTCATTCTATATTGAAGAAATTATTTCAATTTTTTTGAGATATTCACGACTTTGACCAAAAATTAGTAACTTTTTTCATCCGTATAAAGTATCATAATTTATTTCAAGATATTCACGGATTTTGAGCAAAAATAAGTAACCCATTTTGTTTTTAATAAAATATCACAATTCTATTTCATAGCATTCATTTATTTTGACGAACGTTCTGGTGGGCCGTTGTCTGGCAGGTGACGGATTTTACCAAAAAAAATTAAGTATCACATTGCATAAAGCAATAACTATTACAATTTCTCGCTTAGATGTTCACTTATTAATACTAATTTGCAGGTAGGCCGTAGCCGCGTGCAGGTGACAGCCATCCAGTTCTGTGGCGAAGGCAAGATCGACAACCTGACGCTGTCGTCCGCCGAGCACGCCGAGCATTTCTACGCCGGGGCCGAGTGGCTGGTCAAGCATCAGGACCATAGGGGCGGCTGGCCTATCAACGTGCCGCGCTCTGTATGTCTAAACATTCTTTTATCTTATAAAGAAACATTATTTTATCAGCTGTTTACATGCTTTTGTCCTTAGTTTACATTCTTTTGTCGTCAGTTTACATTCTTTTCTCGTCAATTTACATTTTTTGCTCGTTAGTTTGCATTATTTTGTCGTCAGTTTTCATTCTTTTGTCGTCAGTTTACATTCTTTTCTTGTCATTTTATATTTTTTGCTCGTCAGTTTACATTCTTTTGTCATCAAGTTACATTATTTCGTATTTAGTTATCGTGTTTTGAGGATTATGCGACAGAAGTGTTTGCCCAGTGTTTGAATGTCATCATTATTTTTAGGTTGTTGAATATTATTATTGTCAGGTAGTTCAATATTACAATTTCTGTTTTCTGGTGGTTTAATACTATGACTATCATCAGGTGGTTGAAAATCATTGTTGTTGTTGTCAGTTGGTTCAATGTTAATACAGACGGCAGGTGGTTGATTATGTTCATTATGACTCGTTGTTGTTGTTGTCAGGTGGTTCAATTTTAAAACAGTCGGCAGGTGGTTGATTATGTCCATTATGACCAGGTTGTGAAGGACGTACTGACGCTGGAGAGCGGCTGGTATTCTGCCATGGCGCAGGGGCAGGCGATCTCGCTGCTGGTTAGGGCCGCCCACCACTCCGGCGACCAGATCTTCCTGCACGCCGCCCTCCGCGCTACACAGCTCTACCATGTCAACGCTTCCATGGGTGCGCCGTATTACTTGTATTGGTCTTGGCTTTGTGGAAATTGTTGGTAATTTTATGATGAAAAAGCTAACATCTTTCTGACGCATCGAGACCCTGAATGCAGATCTCAGAGCCACGCAGCTCTATCATGTTTAATATCTCCAGTGGTACGCTATATTGCTTTCATAATATTGAATTTTATGATTAAAAATTAGCTTTTTCTAGAAGTGTCAAGACCCTTTTACGTTAATGCGCTCCATAGAACTCAGCTATACCATGTCTATGCTATGCTTCTATGTCTGCCACGTATTGGTTGGTTTCTGTGTTTTTAAATTGTCGGTCATGAAGCATTAGAAGTGACAAAGATGCTTCATTAGAAGAAGTGTCACATTAAAGCCTTATTTACGTTGAGAAGTGACGGAAACATTTTAATCGTCTTACAAACGTAACGTGGCCCTCTGTCATTATAAAGTTTGAGACTTGTCCAGACTTTGTTGCAGTCACCCAACTGCCCCAGGCCAACGCGTTTTTGGGTAAGGCCACGACCAGACTAAAAGCCCATGGTATCACCACTGTCGCAAATATAGCTAACTTTTCATACGCCCACTACATTATACCATCAATCAGGAAAACTGGCAAAATAATAACCCTCCTGAAACCGAACAAACCCCCCACCGAAGCAGCCTCCTATAGGCCCATTACACTCCTCTGCACACCATCCAAACTTATGGAGCGTCTCAAACTCTCTATAACCACTCCTCACATTCCTATCTCACCCACACAACACGGTTACAGGACCCATCACCACTCCACCACCACATTCCTCACCAACCCAAGATGGCATTAACTCCAAGCGCCCCGCGCATCGCACACGCCTGATTACAATCAACGTTAGCAGACCTTTGAAGCCTTCCCGCGCCTCCTACTCACAGACTAAATCTACTATACAAGGCTGCATAACAACACCAAACGCTGGCTTGGCTATTGGAACTTATTATTATCATGGAAAGTAAAGTAATATATGAATAAAGAAACGGGCATGTCGCGGTTTGCTCCTGCCTATCGGTGGCCAAGTCTTCGAAAGGGACCCTTTTTTGTTGTTTATGTAACTTGGTTGGAAATTTTATTTTAAGATATATTATGGGACAAACCCACCGATATTGGATTGATTCTTTCCCGAAATCATCCTGGTAACTTATCATCTATAACTTTTTATTTATGTTTTCATTTCTCCGTTGAAATTCATGAGTTTGATATGTAAGTATTGCAATTTTAACTTCTTAAATTTCAAGGCTACGCGACATTTTTTATGAATATGTATGTAATCTTACCGCTCAAGAAACAAAACAACTTTGTTAATCGACTGATCTCTGTACATCTCATTTGGCCCATTATTATACCTTACATTTGGCTCACTATTTCAGGAGGCGTTCGTGCATACTTTCCTGGAGGCTATGCCTGGTACGAGGAATACCCCACAACGCCATCGCTTTTTGTGCTCAACGGCTTCATTTACAGTTTAATTGGACTCTTTGACCTCAAGGAGGCTCGGTAAGTTATGATGTACTAATTAGACTCTATGACCTCAAGGAGGCTCGGTAGGTAGGTGCTGAGGTGCTAATTAGACTCTATGACCTCAAGGAGTCGGCAGGTGATGTTGTACTAATTAGATTTTGACCTCATGGAGGCTCGGTAGGTCATGATGTCGCCACTAAATTGGAACTTTTTTATGACCATTATTCATTTCCCATTTGGGGAATGGTTAGAAGAAATTGTGGGTGAAGATGTTGTTTTCTTCTGTTAATTTTCACGGGTCATGAAACGGTTAGTATGTAGTAAATGTAGTAGGATTAAATATTCCTCTTTCAATTTTTTAAAGATCATGAAACAGTTGATAAGTTTATGGGTAATGTGTAATAATCCTCACCAACTTTTGAGATTTACGTATATTAGAAATGGTCTAATATAAATTTACGGGTGAGCATGTTGCTCGAAGGTGCAACAGGATTCTTTTTAATTTCTCTTCACAGTAAAGTTGTTTCAGCTCCTGCGCTTTCACTAAAAAATCCGTCCATCGTTAAATTCAGTCCAAAAACATGATTTTTAGATTTCAGTTCAATTAATTTATACCACATAACGAAGTGTTGACTCAATTTCAGTTAAATTAATTGAGAAATCTCTGCTAAGGAAAAACTTTTTATTAAATATTTCAAGAGTAAAGGTGACACTATATATATAATTGAAACTAATGCAAGTGTCGAAAGAGGTTTTTCGATCATGTCTAGGAGTCCAATTTCATTCATTCGCTTATTTCAGGCCTGGTCCGAGCACAGCCGACGCCGCTGAGCTCTACAACGTAGGGATGACGTCACTCAAGAAGCTGCTCCCACTTTTCGACACGGGATGGGGGAGCTTCTACGACCTCCGTCACTTCACCAGCCCCGTGCCTCCCAAGCCTGCACGATGGGACTACCACACGACGCACATCACGCAGCTGCTGCTGCTCGCTTCACTCGATGATGACCCCATCATCGCCTCCGTCGCGGCGCGGTGGCGGGACTACCTTAACGGCAAGCGGGCGCCCCACAACTGAACGGGCGCTGCTGTTCCCGTCAGTGGCGGGACTAACTTAGCGGCAAGCGGGCGCCCCACAACTGAACGGGCGCTGCTGTACCCGTCAGTGGCGGGACTAACTTAGCGGCAAGCGGGCGCCCCACAACTGAACGGGCGCTGCGGTACCCGTCAGTGGCGGGACGGCTTAGCGGCAAGCGAGCGCCCCACAACTGAACGGGCGCTGCGGTACCCGTCAGTGGCGGGACTAACTTAGCGGCAAGCGGGCGCCCCACAACTGAATGGGCGCTGCGGACTTATTTTCAGATCGTGCTGGAGCTCTGACATCTTGATCCCACGAGAGAAATTTCGGTATTTGTGATAAAATTCTTGAAAAATTGATTTGAATTTTTTAAACATATATCCGTTTAAACAATGAATACCTCGGTGTTGGATTTATTGGAAACGCTTTTCATGCAGTGCTGTAATTTAGAAGAAGTGAACGCACGTGCAATCCGTGGATTTTTCTTTAACAACGGTACGTAGGTATTTACCCCAAGTCTTTTTCCCCACAACGGTTGAATTTCTACCCAGTATTCATTATTGATTCTACAAATTGGAGGTGTATTATGAATATCGTATCTGAAGGCTCTATTCTTCGCAGGTTGGACAAATTTTGAGCATATATTTGTCGTATGCTTGCCCCAAACCAAAAGAACAAAAGCCGCTTTGTTTTTTTTTTTTTTCTGTGTGTTCCTGATATTATCCACAATGCGTGGTTGTGGTATTTTAGTATTGACAGTTTTTGGCTGACGTTTTTAATCACGTTTTATTTCTAAGAGCCGTTGTTGGAATGTTTCCAGCAGCGCTGATGTGAAATTTAGTTATGAGATTACCTTTTTGAACTCTGAGCGTAAAATAGCTTCCAAGGCATAGTAGATTCCCATTGAAAATTAATGAACTATTAACTCGAGTCGCTGTCATTTCGGTTGCTCAAGACTATGAATAATGGCAACTATTATCAGAAAGTTGAATTGTAGGAAAGTTTTAAATAATGCAAACTATTATTATAAAATTAAATTCACCAAAATTTTATCATCGATAATTTATGTTCAGAACTATGTTGGTTTCTTCAGTATTTCAACTGCGGAAAGACAACAGTCTAAGCCTGGCTGAGTGCATCTTTGAGGTATACAACAGTCCTGTAGTTCATAGGAGTAATTCCTGTAGAGGTTAGTCTTCATGTGCTTCCAATACTCTTAATTACAGTTTAGGGATGACTCATCAATTTATTGTGTTTTAGACGATGTACTCATGCTTTTTCTCATGCCAAATTTCTGCTATACGGTGGCATCAATTGACATTGAACAGAACTATAACAAGTGAGTCAACTTTTACTCAATAATTTCAGGGGAATGAGTGAGATCTCACGGAGAAACTGTAGTCAACCTTCATGTACGTCAGATGATCTGAGTGTTATTGTTGTTTTGCATAGGGAAACTATCGACGTTAATTCGAAATTTAATTACCTGGTTACATTCACATTTGTTACTGCATCTGCTTGAAGATTTCTGATGCTTCTAGCTGATGCGTTGCTAATTTTTTAGAGCTTTGTGACTCTAGGTATTTTATGGCATAACTTTAACAAATAGTGAGGAAAATGTGCGAGTTACTAGTATATATGACGATTGTAAGCTCTTTAAAGAAAGTGAATGTCCTTTTCTACGAATTCGATTATTTAGGATTGTTCTATATCGACGGGAGAGTGGCTTGTATGTGCGTAATGTTGAATAATTGTGAATACGTTGATTAATTTTGCAATATTTGCTGTTTGGCGACAATCTCTGATACTTATTAGGCAGTAGACATTTGAATAATTATTTTAAGAGTTTATCAAATTAAACGTGTAAAATTTGCTCTATGCTGAGTGAATTCGTTGTCAAGAGTTCATCATTATTCACGAATATTTGTCGAATCTCAACCTGGCGCAGTTTGCGGCCAAAATAATTAAGTAAGTTTGCTTGTTAATCTTGATCTGAAATTTTGTAGCCGCGTAGTCCGGCAATTTCGGACTCTTTGATCTCTGCTGGTTGTAAATCTACTGCGAATAATTAGTACCGGTATATATTTTAAGAGTAACGAATGAATCTCGATGATGATCCACGGGCGGGAGTGGTTCTCTAGTTGCGGTCCACTGAAGCGAGTCGTGGTTCTCTAGTTGCGGTCCGCTGAAGTGAGTCGTGGTTCTCTAGTTGCGGTCCGCTAAAGTGAGTCGTGGTTCTCTAGTTGCGGTCCGCTGAAGAGTGAATTACGTTCGCAGTGTGGGCGTGTGTGAGGGTCTGCTGCATCTTAGTTAAAGCTTCTGCTGCAAGCTCGGCTTTCTCGCAAATTTACTTTCGTCTGTTTGCTTGGGAAGTGATGTCCGAGTTTTGTGGGCAATGGGCGCCATAAAATAAGATGAAACTTGCATCGACGCTTGCCCTTCCATCTTGCTTGAGCGGAAGTTTGTCTGATAGAAGTTTATTTGATAATAAGAATTTTTTGTTCTTGTATCAATCTTATTTCAGATATCATTTGATGAAATGATATATGAATATTTGGTAACACTTTCAAACTCATTTAATACTCATCCATAATAAAATGTACATTAATTAGTTCTTTCCAGGAAATTGATTCATATATTCTCTTGTTTCGTAGAAGTAAAGCAACGACATTATTTAAAATGTAATTATTACTTATTATTTGTTTGTGGTCTGTCATCCATAGGAACGAGACGCTTAATTCTCAGCACTATTTTCCTCCGAGCTCCCGTTACCTCAGCCGGAGAATGAAAACTTTCCAGAATATATATTTTTTATCTGTATTCACTATCTACTGATCTTGATTACATAATTAACTCTCATTGTCCATTCAGCTTGATTTTTTTAATACATGCATTTAATAGTAGTTAGAATAACAATGTTATCGTGTTCAATTTATAATCATGATTCTTTGCTCAGTTAAGTTCCCCAATGGTATTCACATTAAGATTAAAATGTGTCTAATATATCTTGATCGTCGCTTAAAGTTCCTCTGGATTAATTTCTTCATTCTGTGCTACTCTTTCAGAGTTCCATAATTTTCCTGAACCTCAATGTGAGCAATGATGATCTCGTCTTTATTCGCGTTTCGTTTATTCATGGAAAAACAAAGTAATATTTTGTGAGAAACAAATTTGTGCGAGATTGTCTCAATTATTGGAAGCACTTTTCGTCCTTCCTAAGAGGCATACGATGGAATGTCACTCATTGCTTCATCAGCAACACTGATCTCCGCTGTTCTCAACATTCCTCAGGTTGTTATTAAGCCATGTTACTATTCTTTGTTTATCGGATGCGAACGTTCTGGTTGTTAGAGGTTATTTATCTTCTTTGGATGTTCGTAATCTAGCGGTTGCTGTTGGTTCGTCTCCTAAGTTTTCTGACTTCAAAGTTTCACCATTAAATTAGCTCGTCCTCTGTATTATATGTTTTAAAGTGATTGTCTAACTTCATTCTCTTGGTAGCCCACCCAAGTCATGTCTCCGATAATCATTGTTTCAATGGTCGTTTGCTGTACGTCTGATGTCAGCTTATGCGTCTCAAATATTAGTAAATTTCTGCATAATTTGTTATTTCCCAGTTTTATTACGTGCTTTAGCCATGTCTATGTTAAAGCGTCAGACTCTTCAATAAGCCTGAATTATATAGCATTGTAGTGCTAAGTTTCCTTGCTGTTAATAACGATACCTGCGTTTTCATAGTAATAAATGACTCTGTTTCTCTGGATCGAATCTCGATAGCAATTATACTCTGCATCAAAGCTTGCTTGCTGCCGCTTCTAGAATATTTTTTCACTCAAATTCCTGTATTCTGCTCCATATTTACATATAAAATACAAAAAAATATAATTATTAACGAAATATTGTCAACAATCTCGCTAGTATATAACATAGCTCTGTTCAGGCTCAGCTTTACGATAAGGTATCGGATGGCTTTCTCTGCTCACCTAACTATTCTTCCAACTGTACAGAGCTGCTCCAGTCTTCCTGTAGATTTAAATAGAATTAGTTTTGCCGAGGCTGGGGTCATGAGCTAGAATTTTGAATTTTTTTTTCGAATTTCGATTATAGCTTGTGAATTCGCTTGAGAAGTAAGGGAAAATTTTTAATTGTCTTGTATAATTCGCATATGAATGTAAAGATCTGAACTTTCAGGAGTCTAATGCTATTTTACGTTACGTTTATTTTCAATGATAATGAGAAGAAGGATGTTAGCAGGCTTTAAACCAGTGGTTCCCAAAGTGGGCGATATCGCCCCCCTAGGGGCGATGGAAGGATTTTGGGGGGCGGTAAGGAAGAAGAGGGCCGTAGGGGGGCAAGATTGTCTAACTTCATCCCCTTGGTCGCCCACCAAAGTCATGTCTCCGGTAATCATTGTTTCAATGGTCGTTTGTTGTGCGTCTGATGTCAGCTTATGCGTCTCAAATATTAGTAAATTTCTGCATAATTTCTTATTTCCCAGTTTTTTTACGTCCTTTAGCCATGTCTATGTTGAAACGTCAGACTCTTCGAAAAGCCTGAATTTTATAGCATTGTAGTTCTAAGTTTCCTTGCTGTTAATAGATGATACCTGTGTTTTCATAGTAATAAATGACTCTTGTTTCTCTGGATCGAATCTCGATAGCAATTATACTCTGCATCAAAGCTTGCTTGCTGCCGCTTCCAGAATATTTTTTCACTCAAATTCCTGTATTCTGCTCCATATTTACATATAAAATACAAAAAAATATAATTATTAACGAAATATTGTCAACAATCTCGCTAGTATATAACATAGCTCTGTTCAGGCTCAGCTTTACGATAAGGTATCGGATGGCTTTCTCTGCTCACCTAACTATTCTTCCAACTGTACAGAGCTGCTCCAGTCTTCCTGTAGATTTAAATAGAATTAGTTTTGCCGAGGCTGGGGTCATGAGCTAGAATTTTGAATTTTTTTTTCGAATTTCGATTATAGCTTGTGAATTCGCTTGAGAAGTAAGGGAAAATTTTTAATTGTCTTGTATAATTCGCATATGAATGTAAAGATCTGAACTTTCAGGAGTCTAATGCTATTTTACGTTACGTTTATTTTCAATGATAATGAGAAGAAGGATGTTAGTAGGCTTTAAACTAAGTTA